CCCCAAAACCCCAAAACCCCAAAACCCCAAAACCCCTTTTGAAATTTAAAAAATTGAATAGATTATTTAATGATTGATAGGTAAGAAAATATGGGGTAGAGGAGGAAGAAGAGGGAGAGGAGGTGGGTTTAGAGGATTTATAGGAGGGTTTTGGAGGAGAGAGGTTGAATTTGAGGTGTGGTATAGAGATATGGAAAAGAATAAGATAGAGTCCAAAAACCAGGATAAATTTCAAAGAGCAATGTTTGGGCCAATCAGAGCAAGGGTTAAAACAAATCGCAAATAAAAATGTCAATCAGACACAGAACAAGATTACTAATGTTGATTATGACTCTCTCCGATTTAGCGAGGTTAGTAAGTTTACAAACCCTAAGACTGGATTAAAAAGAAAATCGCTAAATTACAAAAGCTCCATCCGAAGAACAGGGAACAATAAATAAAATGATGAGAAATCATTTAAAGAAAAACCTTTCGATTGGGGATATTAGTTATGATCACACCAATTTCAGGACAAGTACAACCAAGAATTCTTTGAGGACTAATATTGTTGACAGCTCTCGGTACAAAAGTACTCTTGTACCAGGTTCTGCTAAGAACACCTCAAAGCATTCTACTAATGCTGAATCATATATGAAGTTTCAGACAAACACTGTTCTAAAGTCTCAGCCTAAATTTACCAACAAGTTAGACAAGAATATAAATTTCTCTATTAAAAAGGCAAATTACCCAAATTTTGGACAAAAGCAAGGCCAGATTCAAGAACTTATGAATATGCAAGAGAAAAGCCGTGGTAAACTCAAGGAAGAAATCCGTTCAGAAATGAAACATCACGTGCAGCATAGGAACAACGGTGGTCTGGAAGATAAATATTTGGAAAAGTCTCAAGAAACAGAATCGCTTGAAAAAGAAGATAAAAAGTGGGAATCCAAAGAGGAAGAAATGCAGTATCTTACTTCAGATAGTATGACTTCTCTAGGAAGTATCCCAGATGAATACGATGCGTTTGAAGCTCAACCTGTTTGATCTTTGAATCAATCTGCAACAGAATCTCGAAGAAGCAAACAATCTAAGAGCATGGCAGCGTGTGGGCATCAAAAAGCTCAAAATTATATAAAGGATAATGAAGATCAGGAGAACTCAGTTAACCAAAAGCATCTTCAACCTTTGTACGAGTCCCAGAAGGAACGAGGAGATCTAAAAGTTGACACAAATTCCCGAAACCATGAAACATCTAGTATAGGAATTAAGGTAAAGCACACTATGAATGTCCCTAGCATGATCACACACCTAAAGCGGAAAGATGGATACCTAGAAAGTCTGGATATCTTCCTGAGCGAGAACCTGTCAGCAATCTCCGACCTTATCAGCATCAAAAAGATCGTTAGCAACAATATCAAAGAACTCAAGAAACGTACTGAAGAGGAAAAGGATAATATCATAAAAGAAGAGAAGAGAGGTTTGAAATTAGAAAAAGACATTTCAAGAACTCTTGAGGAAAATTACTGCCTTGAGCACCAGAATGAAGTCTCAGTCGGAATTGTCCAAAGAGTTAGAGCCAAGATCTCAGAGAAATATCAACAGTATGAGCAAGAGATTGAGGAGCTATATTCACGGAAACAGGAAATTAAGGAGAAGGTTACCAAGCAAATTAAAGACCATGCTGATCCAGTCAAAAGGTCGATGAGAATGTACAAAGCTGTTAAGATTCCGAAGTCCGGAAGAGTTGCTGATAAGCTGACATCAAACGAGTACCAGCTAGAATGCCTCAAGAAAATTATGAGTAACGAGAATAATAGGATGGACCAAAGACTAGCAGTTGTTCGAGAGAAAACAAAACTTCTCAACAACCTTATTAAAAACGAAGATAGCTTTTAGCCAGTATGGGATTACCCAGAGTTCAAAAATAATTCAAAAATTGGGGTTTTGGGGTTTTGGGGTTTTGGGGTTTTGGGGTTTTGGGGTTTTGGGG